CCTCCTCCCCCTCCCCGACCACAAGGCAAAGGGCACCTCTTCCTGGTGGATGTGGGGGCAACGGGTGTCAGGTCACCATCCCGAACTTTGCGGGGTCCCTTGAGGGACCTGTGGCGGAACCGGCTCTGGCTTTGTCAAATTCCACCGATGCTTTCAGGTAAGACAATCAGACGATGACCCGCCACCGGCAGCGTGCCCCTTCCTACATCCCTTGACTCTTCATCGGCTTCTACAAGCAAGGGAAACTGAAGTCCGGGGACTACTTCAAGGTCGCACAGTGAGCCAGGGGCAGAGAACTACCAGAGAATCAACTCAGATCTCCCAAAGTTCTAACAGCCAGTATCGTTGGTTCCATTTGAGAAATGAAGAAACTCAAGCCATTCAAAGAATGTTTACTGGTTGCCTGGTGGGTATATCAGGTCATCCATCCAGTAAATTGGGACAGGATTCAAAGGTCTCTGGTTCCAGACGCAGTTCTTTTTATTTATTTTTTATTTTTTATTTTTTGAATTGGAGTCTCACTCTTGCCCAGACTGGAGTGCAGTGGCCGCTCCTGGCCACCGCAGCCTCCACCTGCTGGGCTCCAGCGATCCTTCCACCTCAGCCTTCCAAGTAGCCGGAATTACAGGCATGCGCTACCACGTCCTGCTGATTTTTTGATTTATTGTCGAGATGAGGTCTCGCTGCCCAGGTGGGTCTCAAACTCGCGGGCTCAGGCAATCCACTCACCTCAGCCTCCCAAAGGCGCGGGATTACAGGCTGAGCCACCGAGCCCGGCTTATTTATTTACTTTTAAATTGGAGTCTCACTCTTGCCCAGGCTAGAGAGCAGTGGCACACTCACGGCCACCCCAGTGACAACCTGCTGAGCTCTGGTGATCCTCCCGCCTCAACCTTCCAAGTAGCCAGAACCACAGGTGCGCACTACCATGCCTGGCTCATTTTTGATTTATTGTAGAGATGAGGTCTCATGATGTTGCTCAGGCTGGTCTGGAACCCCTGGGCTCAGGCAGTCCTTTTGCCTCTACCTTCCAAAGTGCTGGAATTATAGGCATGAGCCACCACACCCAGCTAGGCACAGTTCTTTTAAAACTACATCATACTCATACTGCATAAAAGAAGCAAGAGTTTCATGTCCTAGAACCAAAATTTGCATGATTTGGCCTAGCACTGTCCAATAAAAACATAAAGCAGGCTACATATGTAATTTAGAATTTTCTAGTTAGCCACATTTTTTTTAAAAAGTGAGGCTGGACATGGTGGCTCATGCCTGTAATCTCAGCACTTTGGGAGGCTGAGGCAGAAGGATCACTTGAGGCCAAGAGTTCAAGACAGCCTGGACAACATAACGAGACCCTTGTCTCTATAAAAAACAAAAAAATTAGCCAGCTGTAATGGTGCCTGCCTGTAGTCCTAGCTACTCAAGAGGCTAAGACAGGAGAATTGCTTGGGCCCAGGAGTTCAAGACTCCAGTGAGCTATGATGGCACCGCTGCACTCCAACCTGAGCGACAGAGGGGACTCTGTCTCTAAAACAAACAAAGTTGAAATAAATTTGAATATTGTTATTTAAACATATAATCAGCATTTTAAAATATACCCTGCTTCCGTTTTAAATTTAAATAAATTAAAATGTTACTTCTTCAATCATACTGACTGAACTCCAAAGACTCAGTTGTTACATATGACTGGTGGCACAGGTCTAGCCTCTTCCTACCTTTCCAGCCTTGCTCCCATCTGCTTAGCTGGTATAGTCAGTTTTTCCCCTCTCCTTTTTCTAATTAACTTTTGCACTTCCTTCACCTTGATCTTCTTGACTAGGTCAAAACATACTATTATGTCATTTCATAGTGCTGTGTGCCTTCCTTCAAAGCAGTGGTAACTGTTACAATTCATAATTATGTGTGTCACTGTCCATTATTGTCTGTCTCCCCCTAGTAGATGTGAGCCCCATTAGGGCAGGGATCAAGTCTGGTTTAGCTCATCACCCTTTCCCCAGTAGGAGCACGCAGCTGACTGTGGTAGGTACTAAGTAAATAGTCTTTGTGTACCTGAAGGTGAAACTGAACAGAAGTCTGCTGGACATCAGAGTCAGCATTGTTTTTATATGCTCAAACATGTTAACTTTTTTTTTGTTTTGGATTAGAAAATATAGCTTGTTTAGAAAGTAAATTAGAGAGAAAGAAGAGATTCACCTCCCCAAGGTTAGAGAAGGGGACCAAAGCCAAGAAACATGGCGATGACCGTAGCTCAAAGAGCACATGGCCACACCAGAGTCTAGTAAGGCAGTGGCCCAAACATGTTAACTTTAAATGGTACATTCAAATCTCCAGCCAGAATGTGTGCTCCATAAGGTCAGAAGTTTTCTTATTCTTCCACTCATCTGCCCCCAGCACATAGTACGGTGCTTGCACAACGAAGCTATTTTTCCTCTCTTTCCTTTTTTCCTCCCCAAGTAATAACAGTTAAAACTTGTCATGTTTCAGAGAATACTTATCCTAAAATGGTGTGATGAAAAATTCAGAAGGGAACAGAGTGTATATTTTAGCCAATTCTCTTAGGAAGCTTGATGTTCAGTTCTCCCGTTTTAACTGAATTCTCCCATTGCCTATTAGTTATGAATAGTAGCATTAAGCCAAAACAAGAAGCTTCTTGCCAGGTTGTCCTAAGCTTGGCATCTCAGAGAACTTGTCTTTTTCCAGTCATGCTAGGGAGTGGGTAGGAGGAAAGTGAGAAACCCTGAAATGCACCTGCTTCCTCTTTACCCTTCCCCTTTGCCTGTTTCCCTAAAGGGTAGGAGCAGTGGAAGGAAATCATATTGACCCAGGCCTGGACCAGCCTTTCCAGCAATCCAGCAGCCCAAGGTAGATAGCCTCTTTGGACTAGAAAGAAGCATGGTGAGTGAACCTAAAAAAGAATCAAATAGTGAGTGAACCAATCTCTAAGGAGTAATTTGCCTAATGGAAAAAAGTGTAGAAGCCATTCCAGTTCAGTATTATAAGTCCTGTAACAGAGAAGTGAAAGCAGAAGCCTGGGCTTCACAAGACATGCAGACTTGGAATAATTTGAGAGGGTTTTCCACAAGATGTATCAGCTGGACTTAGTCAAATAGAGGGAACAGCATGTGCAAAGGCACAGAGGCACAAAGAGAGGACCAGGAAGAAGCTCAGTGGGTCAGGTATACAGGATGCTTGGCTGGGGAGAAGAGGGTGGAGCAAAGGCCTGACCGGAGGAGAGGAAAGAAGAGTATGCTGAAGGCACTTCAGTTAATTTTTTCACCAAACTCAATCTTTTCTCTCTCCTTCCATTGTGTCTGAGCCTCGTGAGGGCTGGATCTGAGTCTTTTACTTTATTATGACCAAGCCTATCGCATTAGGCTCTGGACACGGAGGGCCCACAAGTAGTAGTGATGGGCTCCCAGCCAATAAGCAAGGACCAGGAGAGCAGTCAGGTCAGAGTGTTCTAGAACATGGGAGAAAGGGTAGTGTGGGGTCAGTTTTCTGAGAAGGAACAGAAAGACTCAGACAGATCAGGAGCTTCCTACTGAGGATATGGGCCAATATCCTAGAGTCATAGCCTCTGAGAGCTGGAAAGGTTCTTAGGGTCACCTAATCCAAACCTCTTACTTCTACAGTTGAAGCTCAGAGTGGCAAAGAGATTTGATTTCTAGTTTGGGGAACTGACTTGCTGGGTGATCTGGATCCCTGGCCTTTCAGCACTCTAGTCTCCTTGTTTTTCTTTTTTTTTAATTTTTTTATTTTAAATATGTGGGGTACAAGCTGGGCCCGGTGGCTCAGCCTGTAATCCCGCACCTTGGGAGGCTGAGGTGAGTGAATTGCCTGAGCCCGCGGGTTCGAGACCTGCCTGGGCAACTTGATGAAACCTCATCTCTACAATAAATCAAAAAATTAGCCAGGTGTGGTAGCGCGCACCTGTAGTTCCAGCTACTTGGAAGGCTGAGGCGGAAGGGTCGCTGGAGCCCAGCAGGTCGAGGCTGGCTGGGAGTGGCCACTACACTCCAGTCTGGGCGACAGAGTGAGACTCCAGCTCAAAAAAAAAAATTAAATATATGGGGTATAATTCAGGCTAGGTAGTCTCCTTATTTTTAAAACTGGAACAATTTTTATCATGAGGGAGAGGGAGAGGCAGGCATCAGCTGATTGAAAGAACAACTACATATACAAGGGGGACCCCCAAAAACCTGAAATTTATTTTTTTAAAATTGTGTATTTATTCTTACATGTTTAAACTTTAATTCAACGTACTCTCCATTTGATGCAATACACCTATCAAGACACTTTTTCCACTGCTTAGAACATTTTTTGAACTCACAAATTTTGATGTCTTTTAGTGCTTCTGTCATTTTCTCTTTCACCTCTTCCACATCAGCAACACATTTCCATTTGAGGACTTTTTCATCTGGGGAAACAAAAAACAAGTTGCTTGAGGAGTGATTGGGTGATTAAGAATAGTGGGATATGGGGATCATGCCAATATTTTTAAAAATAAAAAACTACTGAACATATAGCACGGTGTGGACAGGTGCACTCATAAATCACTCATCATGAATTGGGCAAACATGTTGAAAGAATCTAAAAAAAATTCACTGAAGCCAAAAGCAGCCTCTCACAACAATGCTAACTGGTACACTGATTCCAGTGAGTTTCTAGAACACCTGTCTAGCGAGGGAAGTCTGTATTACAAGGGGCCTGCCCTCCAAAAGATAATTCTGAGTTTTTTGGGGTCTCCCCCCCTTACCTCAAAATCCTCAGTTAAGAATGAGCTTCTCAGACAAAAGCCTTTATTGCCCATGTAATGGAACATGTGCCTTGTCATTAGTAAGTGAGCATGGTTGGTCTTTTCCTCTTGTGTTTTCTAAGATGGTTCTATGCTATTTATTATTTCCAGGAGGATGATTGAATAAAGAACAAGACTGAAGTGGGAAATGGGAAGCTTTTAAAAGTGGAAATTTTTTGTTTGTCAGTATATAAGAAATCAGACAATGAGTCATCTTGCGAAGATGGAGGCCATCAACATAACTGCTTTACCGGTGATGCCTGTAGATGAGCAACTGGCTGTCTCACTCGTTGCACGGAATGCAATGGAGAACACTGTGGGGCAGGATTTAGAGGACAACCCACTCTGTATCCTTCTGGTGGTGTCACATATAATCTGACCAAATACACCTATCTTGAGTCATGCCACAGAGATGTAATCAGTGCTCAAGTCTGTAATACACATTACTTATTAGCTTATTCCTCATACATTCATTCATTTTTTGATTACGTATTCCCTACCCATCCTCTAAAAGAATTTGAGGCTGTTTGGATTGTTTGACTTGAATATTTTGTACTAATATAATCAGAAACAGCTCGAAAGGAAGAAATATTGGAAGTTATTTGTTGAAAGAATGAAGAAGGGGGGGACACTCATTTAAAAAAAAATTATTGCCTTCTTTCACTTCTACTTTCCAACGAACTGTAGTTATAGATGTTATTGATAGCAATTGAGAAGTCATGGTGCAGCCTCTACTCTCAGATGAGCATAAGACCCAGCTTTCACTTTTGTTATTCCAGTTGACCTTGTTTCTTCTCACCTGCCAGCCCTTCTACCTGGGCTGAGAGTTTGCCCCTTCTGGAATCGTCCAGGCTCTACCAGCATATTATTTCCCTGGCCCTGTCTTCACTAATCCTCATCTCATTTCTGACCCTGAGTTGTATTCCAGGATCATAGAACCGCATCTCTGGAGGACCTTAGAGCTTGTCCAGCAGATACCCTCTCACATTATAAATAATCCCAGGTCTTTCCATCTCATATAGAGCTCAGTTCCCTTCAAGTCATGCTGTCACCAGCCAAAGTACAGGCATCACTCTGCCCCCTTCACCTTCCACACTTCTCAGAAGCCCTTCTTAAGATGAGGAAAAATGTGATCCCATCAGAATCTGTTTCAGGGTTTCACTTTGCTGGGCCACTTTCCAGTGTCCCCTCTTTCTTCTTAATCCTACACTCATCTCCACCTAACAAGTCCATTTCACTTTCTGTGCTTTGTCATGACCCTTCTTGGCATCTTCATTTTTCAAGTATCATACAATTTATAAGACCACTTGAAGGTAATGGAAGTAAGAGTGAACCTTGCTTTATGTGAAGGGAGCAAGGGGTGATAGGATTATGGGGCTTTTATGAAGGCTATATCCTAAACCAGTGGAGGCTAAGACAGAGGCCAATGCAAAAGCTGAGAGGGTAACAAGAGGAGCCACAGAACTGAACAGATTTCAACAGTGATAAACAAGGTTGAGACTCCTTTTGACCCAGTCATCCCTCACCTGAAAATATCTCTTAAAGAAATATTCTAAAATATGGAAACACCTCTCTACATGATCAAGTGCATCTCAGCATTATTTATAATTGCAGAAAAAGTATAAACAACTTAGATATTCAATAGCCAAAGAACAGTTGAGTGTAATGAGGTATATCTTCTGAATGGATTAATATAATGTCATTTAAGATGATAATCATGAAGATTGTTTAGCCCTATGGAGAATGCTCATAATAATAAGTAGAAGAGAAGTCAGAGTAGTGAAACAGGCATACACTGATATTATCAAAATGTAAAAAAGTATGTATGTGAGAAATACTGGAAAGAACGCTCCCTAAATCCTCACAGAGTTGTTAGGGAGGCAGTATTATAGATGGTTCCTTTTTCCTTTTATATGTTCCAAGGTGTTTATATTATGGTCAACTTTCATTTATAATTTGTAAAGTGGTTCATTTAAAACAAGATAAATGTGAATGTTTGCAAAGAAAATAATTAAGCAGAGAGGCTACACAGACAGGGCTGCCCTCCTTGCCAGGCTCCTGGCATGCTCCATCTGCTGTGTATGTAATTACCACCCAAGAGTTTCCTTAGCAGATTCACTCCCAGCATGCCTTATTGGCTCCATGCACCAGGTAAACCAGAAAATTGCTGAAATAGATCTGCATCTCAACCCGTTGGACAATAGCCTGGTGAGTTATGGGTGCTGGAGCTGAGTCAAGTCATCAAGGTGTGCAGTGCCCTAGGGCCTTTCCATTCATTTGAAAACATGTTTACAAAAATTGAGGTCTCAAAGTAAATTTTTAAAAAGTAATCAGCTTTATTTTTTTTAGAGCAGTTTTAAGTTCATAGCAAAATTGAGCAGAAAGTGCAAGAGTTTTCTCATATGTCCCCTCCTCCTGCACACACACAACCTCCCCTGCTATCAACATTCCTCAGCACAATGGTGTATTTGTTACAATCAATGAACCTATATTGACACATCATTATCATCCAACATCCATTGTTTACATTAGTGTTTACTCTTGGTGTTGTACAGTCTATGTGTTTGGGTAAATACATAATGATATGTATCCACCACTGTAGCATAATATAGAATAGTTTCACTGCCTTAAAAAGTCTCTGTGCCCTGTCTGTTCATTTCTTTTTACCCCCTGTCCTCTGGCAACCACTGATTGTTTTTTCTTTTTTTTTTCTACTGTCTCCATAGTTTTTCCTTTCCCAGGATGTCATATGGTTGGAATCACACACAATATAGCCTATTCAGTTTGGTTTCTTAGTAATATGCATTTAAGTTTCACTTAGTAATATGCATTTAAGTTTCCTCCATATCTTTTCATGGCTTGATAGCTCATTTCTTTTTTAGGGCTGAATAGTATTCTGTTGTTTGGATGTACCATAGTTTTTTTATCTACTACTCAAGGACATTTTGGTTGCTTCCATATTTTGGCAATTATGACTAAAGCTGCTACAAGCATCTGTGTACAGATTTTTGTGTGGACACAAGTTTTCACTTCATTTGGGTAGATACTAAAGAACACAATTGCGAGATCGTATGGTAAAAGTATGTTTAGTTTCGTAAGAAATTGACACTCTGTCAAAGTGACGGTACCATCTTGCCTTCACATCAGCAATGAATGAGGGTTTCTGTTGCTCCACATCCTCACCAGCATTTGATGTTGTCAGTTTTTGGATTTGGGCCATTCCAGTAAGTATGTAGCAGTGTCTTGTTTTGCATTTTCCTGATGACATATAATGTGGGTCATCTTTTCTTTTCTCTTTTTTTTTGAGTCAGTCTCACTCTGTCACCCAGGTTGGAGTACAGTGGCACGCTCAGAGCCACGGCAGCCTCAACCTGCGGGGTTCAGGCAATCCTTCTACCTCAGCCTTCCACAAAGCTGGAACTACAGCCTTCCACGAAGCTGGGGTGGCACTACCACACCCAGCTTATTTTTTTTTATTTTATTGTAGAGACGAGGTCTCACCAAGTTAACCAGGCTGGTCTCAAACCCCTGAACTCAGGCAATCCTCTCTTCTTGGCCTCCCAAAGTGTTAGGATTACAGGCTTGAGCCACCGAGCCCAGCCTGCTTCTTTCCATATGCTTATTTGTCATCTATCTTCTTTGGTGAGGTGTCCATTCAAGTATTTGGCCCATTTTTTAAATGAAGTTGTTTTCTTATTGTTGAATTTTAAGGTTTCTTTGTATATTTTGAATAACAGTCATTTACTGGATATGTCTTTTGCAAATATTTTATCCCAGTCTGTAACTTGTTGCTTTGGTCTCTTGATGGTGTTTTTTGCAGAGCAGAAATTCGTAATTTTAATTTAATCTAGCTTATCAATTCCTTCTTTCATGGATTGTGTCTATGGAGTCACATATAAAAAGAAACCACCGAACCCAAGTTCATCTAAGTTTTCTCCTGTGTTATCTGTTAGGGGTTTTCTAGTTTTGTGTCTTACATTTAACATTGTAATCCATTTTGAGTTAACTTTTGTGATCACTGGAGTTTTTAACTCTCAGAGTTATCTGTACTGAGCCTCCAGCAATTCCTTAATGATGGTTTAGGTTGTCCTACTAGTTGCTGTGGAGGTTTCAGCTCATGGGTTTATTCTCTTGTAAACTGTGATTCTCTGGATCTGCCTAGCCATCTCTCCAATTTTGGAGTGGCAGTTTGCCATGTGACATCAGTTCTCTGACAGACCCAAAAAGAAGTATTGATTTTTCAGTTTGCTCAGCTTTTTACTTATTAGGACAGAATGGTGACTTCTGAGTTCCTGATGTATGAGAATGGAAGCCAGAAGTCTGAAGATTAACTTTTGATTTACATTTATTTAAAAAAATAATTCTCACACACACACACACACACACACACACACACACACACACACACACACACAGCTTGTTGGGAGGCAGGAGTTCTAAGGGTTAAGCAAGTAGCAGTTGAGTAGCACAGCTCCTTCAAGATGGAAGAACACTGGAATGAATCATCTATAAGTGTCTTTTTAGCTACCTTGAGTTTTGGCACTAGTATGCATTTGATTTTTATTTTTAACTGCACTCAAGAAATCTGAGGCATAGCAGCTGGGCACGGTGGCTCATGCCTGTAATCCCAGTACTTTGGGAGGCTGAGACTTGTGGATTGCCTGAGTCCGCAGGTTCGAGACCAGCCTGGGCAACTTGGCGAGACCTTGTCTCTACAGTAAATCAAAAAATTAGCCAGGTGTGATGGCGCATGCCTGTAGTTCCAGCTACTTGGAAGGCTGAGGTGGAAGGATTGGATCACCTGAGCTCAGCAGGCTGAGGCTGCAGTGGCCATGAGTATGCCACTGCATCTCAAAAAGTCAAAAAGAAAGAAAGAAGGAAGGAAGGAAGGAAGGAAGGAAGGAAGGAAGGAAGGAAGGAAGGAAGAAAAGAAAAATCTGAGGCATAAGAAAGAAAGAAAGAAAGAAATCTGAGGCATAAGAAAGAAAGAAAGAAAGAAAGAAAGAAAGAAAGAAAGAAAGAAAGAAAGAAAGAAATCTGAGGCATAAATCTTAAAATCTCCAAGATATGAAAATATAGAGATTTGAAAATGAGAACAACTAAGCAATATCGCCAAACCCACAGTCCCCACTAAGGGCCTGCTCCTCAGTGGTCTCAGGTTTATTGTTTAGGGGTCAATTCCACATGCTGGTCTGACCAGATGGGCCTGTACAGCTCAGTGAGTTCACCTGCCTCCCTCTCATGCATAGTGACTGTGAGGAGAAGGATTCTAATGATGAAGATTTACTCTTTGAGAGATCTTATGTACTGCACACAACTTAACTCTCTAACCTACAGGTTTTTCATTTCCACCACAGATTGCTCACTGGCAGTCTGTGTGCCAAGTCCAGGCTGCCCATGTATTTTCATTGGTCTGCACCAGCTGGTCTGATGCAGACCCAGACTTCTGCCAGGGTCTGCCTTTCCACATGGCAGTCATCAGCTGGAGCAGAAGAGCAATGGCTCACTTTATCAGAGCATGAGCTCTCCATTTCGCCACAGTTCCCGCTACTTCCTACTATTCCTGACATGGAGGCCGAGTGTCACTTGCCATGTTACGTGTGACTTGCTTCACTCCTCTGTTATTACCTGTGTCTTCAGACACAATGGAAGGGTCTCGGGCTAGATGAGAACCTGAAGTCAGTTGATTGAGAGGAAGGCCTTCTCTTTGAGTCCCAGCCTGGCCCAGTCAAAGTCCACTGTGCTTCCCTGTCTCTCCTCTTTCCCCCTCTTCCTCCTCCTCTTCATTGCTTCCCTCTGCCTCTTTGTCTGACTTAGCCCCGCTCCTTTACTTTCTGCCAGTCCATCCTCCTGACATCTTGCCTTCTACCAAGCTCCTCTGTCTCCAGACCCCTGATGTCAGGATTTCCCTCTATAGTTTTTAGCTTCACCATCACTCCAATTTTTCCAGTACTGACTTTTGGACTCAGTTCTGTTCTGGAGTCAATCTTTTTGTCTTGTTTTAAAAATTGCCAGACTCAGTGGCTCAGCCTGTAATCCTGCGCCTTTGGGAACCTGAGGTGAGTGGATTGCCTGAGGCCGCGGGTTCGAGACCCACCTGGGCAGGCGAGACCTCATCTCTACAATAAATCAAAAAATCAGCCGGGTGTGGTAGCGCATGCTTATAATTCTGGCTACTTGGAAGGCTGAGGCGGAAGGATCGCCGGAGCCCAGCAGGTCGAGGCTGCGGTGGCTGGGAGCGGCCACTGCACTCCAGTCCGGGCGACAGAGTGAGACTCCAACTCAAAAAAAAAAAATTGTAAATAGCAAGGTAACACATGCTTATTCTAAAATACATTCAAATAATCTACAAGCATATGAGTAAAAAGTGAAAGTCATCTTTCCACCAGTCCCATTTTCCTCCCTAAAAGTAACAGTTGCTAATCGTATGGCATGTATCTTTCCAGAACTTTAAAAATACATTTAGAAAAATATATAGCATGTATCCTTAATTATTATTTTCTTTTTTTTGACATAAGTGGAATTATACGACAAATTTTGTTTTGTAACCTGCTTTTGTTTTCTCATGTTTATTTATCTATTTATTTGTTTTTAGCGTAAATATCTCTTGGAGATTTTTCAGAATGACCTGCCCCATCCTTGTAATGGCTGCGTAATATTCTATAGGCTGAATATGGCATAATTTATATAAATATTCCCTATTGATAAATATTTCAATGACATTTTCACCATAGTGAACAAATGAATATTTCTGTATATGTATCTTGGGACTCATTTGCAAATATTTCTGCAGGATAGAGCCCTAGAAGGGAAGTTTTAAATTTTAGAAAATAAAGTCAAATTAATCTTCACATAGGTGAAGTCATTCTTTACCAATGCAGAAAGAGGCCACTAGCTTCAGTCTCTTCTATACCACAGCTGAGTAGAGCATAGAATTAAATTGTGAATAAAAGCAAAATATGCACACACACTATTTGGAGTGATTCCAATGTAAGTTAAAAAGCACCCTGTGTGTGTTTGTGTACATTCATCCTGGGAGACAGCATAGACGGGAAGCACAGGCTCTGGAATAAGACTGTGAGAGTTGAAATTCCTGCTCTGTTGTTCTCTTGCATTGTGATATCAGGTAAATTATTTAGCCTTTATGAGTCTCAGTTTCCTGCAAAAAGTGATAACATTAATAATGTGTCTAACTCATGGAGTTGCAGGAGATAGATGGGTTAAAACTCATGCAAGCCAGGCTAGGCTTGGTGGCTTAGACTGTAATCCTAGCACTTTGGAAGGCTGAGACAAGTGGATTGCCTGAACCCATGGGTTTGAGACCTACCCAGGCAACTTGGCAAGACCTCATCTCTACAATAAATCAAAAATTAGCTGGGCGTGGTGGTGTACACCTGTAGTTCCAGCTATTTGGAAGGCTGAGGCGGAAGGATCGCCGGAACACAGCAAGTCGAGGCTGCGGTGGCCGGGAAAGGCCACTGAACTCCAGTCTGGGTGACAGAGTGAGACTCTAACTCAAAAAAAAAAAAAAACCAAAAAACTAATGCAAGCCCTTAGCTCAGGGTTAGGAAGAATGCCTGGCTCAGAGCAAGACATTGTATGTGTATAAATGTATTATATAAGAAGGAAGTCCAGATAGACCAAATGGCTAATTGAGTCAGCTCTGGAGAGAGGCATGGGATGGAAGATAGATACATTTTTTTTACTCCATAAAATTCTGTAATATTTGGGTATTTTAAGATAAGAACGTACATATATGTCACTTCTGTGATTTTTTAAATAATAATTTTAAAAATCAGGATAAAGAATAGCTACCCTCCCAGAAGCAGGATCTTGGGCTTTTTAAGACCACCCAGCACTGGCATAGCTCCTTGAGTGTTCATTATTGTCATTCAGAACCAGGATGACATTGTCAGGAGCAGTCTTGGTCCCCACATGATCTGGAGGAAGGGACCCCTTGCCTATTCTTCCTGCTCACCTGCCTAGGCATCTGGTCAGATCTGTCAGTAATGACTGCCTGCTGCCACCAGAACCCATCCCTGAGCTCCCTATCCACCATGCCCTTTTGCCATGCCCTTTATACACCAGGCCTTAACTGTGAAGCCACTTCTTCTGGGTCAGCTTACACAGCCAGACTGGCTTCTCCAGCATTCAGCTGCCCTGGCAGATGGCACTGCACACCTGGTGCATAAGAAGTGCTTATATATAGATGTGCACTCGTGATTGATTGATTCATCTCGTTCTGAATGAGGTCTTCTGAGTCAGACCTCTGAGTCTCATGCCCAGGTCTCAAGCTGTGCCCTAGTTCTGCCCCCTTCTCCCATGCCCTAGGGGTGGGTTTCTCTCTAGTCTCTGACCATGAACCTTGCCTAGTTCTTTCCAGACTTACTCCCTTGATAGCTAGTTTGCGCACCATTACAGCCTTGCTGTCCACCCTAGCTCTTGGCCTGAAGGTCACTTCTCTAAAAAGGCCTTCCCTACACTTTCAACCCAAGCCTGATGTAGCCACCCTTCTGGGCATGCTCCTGGCATCCTGTTCCTCCCTGTGGCAGCCCCAATCACTTGTAATTACCTGCTTCTTCCCCATTAGTCTGTGAGCCCTTGGAGGGCAGGGAAGGCATTCACTGTTCACTGTTGTGTCCTCAATGTAGGGCACAGCATTGACCTTTAGTAGGTTCTCAGGAAATATTTGTGGAATGTATGATACATTCACAGATTCTAGCTTCTCATCTGTATTTCAGTCTTGTATTTCCAGCTACCTAAAACTGTGATATCTGTACCTAACCAATCATAGGCCTCTTCTGGGAGCTTTTTTTTGTTTTCCCAAGACAGGTCCTCTGTGACCGCTTCGGCTCCTACTGGTCTCACGTGTTTGAATCTTAAACTCAGCTACTTAGCACTTAATTATTCCATGTGTGTTAATTTGGCTCTTCAAATAGGTTTTAAGTCCCTTGAGGCCAGAACACAGAATCATACTTCTTTGCTAATTTTGTTACTCAAGCACATGGCTTGATTCTTGGTTGACAATCAGTGCAACTTGTTGGGTCACTGACATTCTTTTTTTTTTTTCTTTTTTTTGGGGGGGGCTTAGTGGGTGTGGGTGGGGTGGAATCAGAAATCAAGAGAAGTTTCTTTTTTTTTTGAGTCGAAGTCTCACTCTGTTGCCCAGACTGGAGTGCAGTGGCCGCTCCCGGCCACCACAGCCTCAACTGCTGGACTCTGGCTATCCTTCCGCCTCAGCCCTCCAAGTAGCGGGAACTACAGGAGCGCGCCACCACGCCCAGCTAATTTTTTTTTGATTTATTGTAGAGATGAGGTTTCGCCAAGTTGCCCAGGCTGGTCTCGAACCCACAGGCTCAGGCAATTCACTCCTCTCAGCCTCCCAAAGCACGGGATTACAGGCTGAGACACCGAGCCCAGCTAAGAGAAGTTTCTTATGAGAGATCAAGAGTATGCAATAGTTACCCCTTACTGAACAGCTCCTATCTGATAACTTCTGTGCTAGTGTTTTAAAATACATTAAATTCTTTATCTCTGATTCTTATAAGAACCCTGGATGGTAGGAATTATTATCCCCCTTTTACAGAGACATTAAACAATAGTTTGTAACCCATGAGGCCGTGATTAAAACCCTGTTCTAAATTCTGTATTCCTCAAACATGTAGCAGCCAGGAGCCGGGGCACTGTGAGGGGGTGAGGACACACAGGGGGATGATGTTAGTGACATTGATGGTCACCGGCCCTACTACTTTCGGGGAAGACAAGGTGCTAGCCACAAACTTTGCTCCAGGTCTTTTGTACACCAATAAGAGAAAAGGCTGGTCCCAGGATTTGCATTAATCCCTAATGTCCTATTTTTTCCCCCCAATTTTTGAAGGCCATTGAGAGATTTGAGTTGGAGAAGAATGCTTTAGAAGAGAAAAGTCACAGCAGCCCAGGAGACAGAGGCAAAAATCCTTTCTCTTAGCTTTAATGTGTTTTCATGGGGTTTGGGTTTTTTAGTATTTAAAATGCAATTAAGTAGAAAGTCAGAGTTTCAGGTGAAGATGTTTTTCTCTTCTTCTGAAGGAGTCTTACATCTGACTTCTTGGCAGTAGCTAAGGAAGGAGGGAGGGCTAGTCCCATTTAGAGACCACCTACAATGTGACGCATGGCGCCAGGTGCTCTCATTCACATTCCTGGATTAAATTTTTATAACACCCCTGCCTGGGAGGTGGGTACCATTGAAAACAAAGCAAAAATAAATAAATATATATATATATATATATATATATATTTTTTTTTTTTTTTTTTTTTAAATAGGAATCTCACTCTGTTGCCCAAGCTGGAGTTCAGTAGCACACCCATGGCCACGGCAGCCTCAACCTCCTGGGCTCAGGCAATCTTTCCGCCTCAGCCTTCCAAGTAACTGGAACCACATCTGTTAATTCCAGCACTTTGGGAGGCTGACACAAGAGGATCACTTGAGTCCAGGGGTTCGAAACCAGCCGGGGCAATATGACAAGACCTCATCTCTACAATAATTTTTTTTTAATTAGCCAGGCGTGGTGGCACACACCTGTAATTCCAGCTGCTTGGAAGGCTGAGGTGGCAGAATCTCCTGAGCCCAGCAGGTTGTGGCTGTGGTGGCTGTGAACGTGCCACTGCACTCCAGCATGGACAACAGAGTGAGACTCCAACTCTAGATAGATAGATAGATAGATAGATAGATAGATAGATAGATAGATAGATAGATAAACAGTTATAATTACCACATAGCTGTGGACAGACCCTGTGGTTACTAATTTATTTCTCTTCCTCCATTTTTCTGCAGTTAAGAGACAAAGAAAAGCACAGTATTCCTGCAAAGGCTCACAACTCAGGAATGCTAAATCTTGTCCTATAAAAAGGGTAAGGAAGCTATTGCTGTGTCAGTTTCTGACTAGCTTCTGCTGGGCATAAAACTTTTTATTCCTGGGGAGGGAACACTTGGCCCCTGGGTGGTGATTATGAAGGAAAATAAGAGTTCCCTTTTCAAAAGAGGGTCTTAACATAATTTAGCAACTCTAGAGTTTCTCATGACACTCCTGAAAGGGAGAACTGACCCTAGCCTCAGAATGGGGAGTGTTGCAGAGGTCATGTATCTGATTAGTTTTAGGGCTTAGAAGGTACTTCTCCTAGGAGACAATGAGTCCAGGTCTAGCTCAGAGCCACCGTGCTGCGCAACTCCAAGGTGCCATCCACACAGCAGGTTCCTGTGAGGTTGTTCTGAGTCACAACCCACACTGGTGTTGCCAATTGCTATGAATGCCCCCAGAAACAGATTCAGGAGCAGTCAGGTGACTTAACCAGGGTCATGCAACACTGATGGCAGGCTGGGCTTCCTACCTAGTGCTCTACCTGGAGGTGGGACCCTCCCCGCTGCCTCCCCTGCAGCAATCTGGCCCCACCTCACAGCCACTCCAGTTAAGGTCCTCTGAGGAGGTCATATGTATGCAAACCTTTAAACACTGGAGAATATGAAACAGTATGTTATTCTTATCCTTTTTACACTGTTTAGCCTAAGAAATTCCAAACCAGCACAAAGCCTAATGGTTGAGAGTCTGCGTTGAAACTGTCATACTGACCAAGCATACCTAAGTGTCCTGCCCAAGGTGGCACAGCTAGCACAACGGAGCTGCCACTGACTCCAGGTTGTCTGACTCAGAGGCAGTATGAGTACAGTGAATCACTGAATTTCTGTCGATCACTGTAGCCCAATTAGGAAGTCACTCAGTTCATCTAAATGTTTCAGTAGGTGGCTTTGGGTGGTGATCAGTTTTCTCTTTCTACTTTTCTTTTTTTTTTTTGAGGAGTCTCACTCTGTCGCCCAGACTGGAGTGCAGTGGCTGCTCCCATCCACTGCAGCCTCGATCTGCTGGGCTCTGGCGATCCTTCCGCCTCAGCCTTCCAAGTAGCTGGAACTACAGGCGCGCACTACCACGCCCGGCTAATTTTTGATTTATTGTAGAGATGAGGTCTCGCCAAGTTGCCCAGGCGGGTCTTGAACCCACGGGCTCAGGCAATCCACTCACCTCGATCTCCCAAAGTGCTGGGATTACAGGCTGAACCACCGAACCCAGCCTCTACTTTTCTTATTTTTACATTTTCTTATAATCAGTGTTTTAGTTTATTCTAAAGATCAATTTAATGATATATATTAAACTCCATAAAGCTAATTCTATCCTTTGATCCAATTTTACAGTTTTGAGGAATTCACACTAAATAATCCTAAAGGGAAGGAAACTACATGTTCCAAGTTTGTTTGTTTGTTTTTCTTTCTGTTTTTTTTTTGGTTTTTTTTTTAGTCAATGTCTCCCTCTGTTGCCCAGGCTGGAGTGCAGTGACAAAAACCACAGCTCACTGAAGCCTTGACCTCCTAGGCTCAGGTGATCCTTCCACCTCAGCCAGCTGAGTAGCTAGGACTATAGGCACATGCCATTACACCCAGCTAATGTTTGTATTTTTTGTAGAGATGAGGTCTCACCATGTTGCCCTAGCTGCTCTTGAACTCCAGGACTCAAGTGATCCTCCCTCCTCAGCCTCCCAAAGTGCTAGGATTAGAGGCATGAGCCACTGCGCCTGGCCACTCCAGGTTGTTAATGACAGTAATATTAACTGGAAGTAATCAGTGAGTAGTTCATTATATTATGACATATCTTCTTAACAGTATATAATCATTTTAAATGATAATTTTCAGGACAACATAGCTATGTGAAAAATCTAAATTAAAGTGGACCAGGCTCAGTGACTCACACCTGTGATCCCAACAGTTTGAGGGACTGAAAGTCACTTGAGGCCAGAAGTTTGAGACCAACCTGGGCAATGTAGCAAGATGTCCTCTCTACTAAAAAAAAACAAAAATAAAAAAAAAAAATTAACCAGTCATAGTGATGTGTGCCTGTAGTCCCAGCTACATGGGAGGCCAAGGTGGGAGGATCACTTGCGCCCAGGAGTTTGAGGCTACAGTGAGCTATGATCGCGCCACTGCCCTCCAGCTTAGACAACAGAGCCAGACCCTGTCTCAAAAATTAAATTAAAATAAAATGGATAAAGCAGGACATAAAAATTATATATACATCATGATTGAAGTTACATGTATGTATTTGTATACATTTGCTCAAAGCCTGTAAGGGAAAATAGAAATAATGAACATAGATGTTTGGTAAGGGGTCCTGGAGTCATGACCGCCTCCTCATTTTCTCAATATTCTATAAGGTTGTTATACTGTCTTCATAATAAAAAAGGGAAGACAGCCTATTGTTTTATAATGTCAAAATGATGAACCCCATTTTCATATTCTGCTCTTTTGCTTTAGAAAACCGCAGATAAAAATCTGCTAGCAGAGCTGTACCAGTATCCCAAATTTAACAGCTCTAAACCAAATAATCTTCCGAATGGGGTGGACTTCTGTGACATGGTGGGCAATGTGGTCCGGGCGGAGAGAAATCCCCTTAGCGGCAAGGTAAGGAAAGACAGCAGACTACTCGCCCAACTGCAAGCCCGCTCTGCCCTGATCTAACATTTACAAAGCAGTCCCCTTTTTCACACCCCAGGAGCAACTGAGGAACTTACCTAGGACCAAACACAGACTGAGCTGAGCTAGGAACCCTAGCTCAAGTTCTCTCCAAAACCTAAATTTTTTCTATCAGGGCAACAGTCTCCAGACTGTTCTGATCACGTATCCCTACTTGCAAAAAATATTTGGTCACACACCCTCATAGATATATGGCTGTTGATAAATCATGTGCTTGTTCTGTTGTCAGTTGCTATGTTGTGAGTTAGTAAGTTCAATTTCTTTTCTTTCTTAATTAGGCATTAACTAGAATATTTTCTTCCCATACCCCTTGGAGTGAGTATGCCACCTTGGAGAGCCATGCAATAGAGCACTCTGGGTTCCTCAGGAAGAAAGAGAGCAAAAGAACTTGGTGTGCATAAGGGACACACGCCGGCTGCTTGGGAGGTGGGGGGTTATGGTAGGGGAGTTGGAAAGGGGAGGAAGCTCAGGAAATGGTCTCAGCAGCCATACAGCTGTGCCTCATTGCCCTTCACAATCACACAACTCTGGAGTCTCCAAAGCAGCTCTTGGTCATTGTCCCTTCAGCTCCTAACCAGTCACCCTACCATTCCTGGGACTCAGCCATCTCAGTCTCCTCTACCTGTAGTTCTCACTGCTGCTTCAAACCACATCCCCTGCCTCTCTAACTGTTTCTTTCTCCCTTTCCCCATACCCTTCCCTCCTCTCTTCTTGGCTTCTTCCTGCTGCTTTCTCTCTGGCTATATCAGTCCCATCTGTCTCTTTGCTTTGTGTCTTGCATTCAGACTTCCAGCCACTGCCCAGTATGACAGTACTGCCAGCTGGCATGGACTGCAGTCAGTCGGTGGACAGAGTGCTGGTCTCTGGGTCAAGCAATGTTGGCCCTGGTGTCAGGTACCTGGTTCCCTTTGTATCTGCCTTCCTCAGGGAGAGGTAATAGGAGGGGCAGGCTCTCAGAGCATCATATTCTCTACAAAGATGCTCACCACATTGTTAGTTATAGTTGCAGGAAACTGGAAGCTAGTACCTGTTGGTCATTAAGTGACTCTCTGGGCTCTAATTTCCTCTCCTGTAAAATAGGAATAATAACAGTCTCTACTGTTAAAATAGGAATAATAAAAGGCTCTACAGTAGAGCCTTTTTTTGTAAAATAAATAAGATAATGCACATAAAAGCACTTAGCACAGTGCTTAACAAGTCACAAGTTCTCAAAAATGGTAATGTTTAGGCTAGGTACTGTGGCTCCCACTTGTAATCTCAATACTTTGGGAGGCCGAGGCAGGAGGATTGCTTGAACCCAAGAATTTAAGACCAAGCTCGCCATAATAGCAAGACCTCATCTCTACAAAAAAAAAAAAAATTAGTTGGCCGTGGTGTAGCTGTAGTCCCAGTTACTCAGGAGGCTGAGGTGGAAGGATTGCTTAAGCTCAGGAGTTTGAGGTTGCAGTGAGCCATGATCATACTATCGCATTCCACCCTGGGCAGCGGAGTGAGTCCCTGACTCCAAAAAAAACCCACAAAAAAGTAGTTTAATGATCAATAACTGAAGAATAGCAGTCATTTATGGTATCTATATTATATGGACCATGTAGCCATAAAAATGAATGTTTATAGCCGTCAACTTGGCCTCTGCTTTAGAGAGTCTGGGGGTCATCACCCACCCTGAGCTCCAGGGGAAAAAAGCCCTTCCCACCCCACCTCACTCAGTAGTGCAGCCCCAGCTCCACCGAGCCTCACCTGGGACAGAGGAGTCATCTGCACGTGCTGGCTTTATGTTCTCACTCCCCATTCTCTTTCCTCCAGCTGCCTCATGGCCCCATGGCTTTCCGCCCTCATCCATTGAGTCAGTCATGAGCTTTCATCTTGCCAAATACAAAGGATGTGTTTCTGTCGTTATCAGAGATGACTTCTCTGCAGAACTGACTTGGGGAACGACTCCCTACATTTTGAAATTCTTTCTCCCTTGGTTTCAGCGAACTGTTCTCCCTCTGCTCAAGTAGCACTGTCTTGGTCTTCCAAGCCCCTTCACCATCCATGTTCTTCAGGACCCTGCCCTCTGCCCTATGTCTTCTCCCTCTGCACAGACTGGGGCAAGTGGACCTCGGCCATTGTCTTTGTTTTGTGCCACTGTCACAGAACACCTGAGACTGGGTAATTTATAAAGAATAGAGATGTGTTTCTTACAGTGCTGAGGCTGGGAAGTTCAAGATCAAGGGGTAACTTCTGGTGAGGGCTTCCATGTTTTATCATCCCATGATGGAAGGTGGAGAGGGGGGAGAGCAGGAGTGAGAGACAAGAGAAGGTTGAACTTGCTTGTATGACAAGCCTGCTCCCTCAATAACCACATTCATCCATTCTTGATGCAGAGCCCTCATAACTCATTTACCCTTTTAGGCTGCACCTCCCAACACTGTTACATTGGGAGTTAAGTTTCCAACACATGAACTTTGGGGGACACATTTAGACCATAGCAATCATCTTCCCTCATGAGGCTAATCCCTATTTTGGAACTGAGTCACTGCCTCCAAGCCCTTTGCTGCACTCTGGACATCCATCTCCCTCTGTCCTTCTGCCTCTGACCTGGATGCTCTTCAGGCTCTCACACTCATAAGCTCTGCTTCTCCTCCATCGTCCCTACCTTGCTGAAAATACAGCCTTCCACTTGGGCATCAGTCAGTCTCCTCCCACACCCTCATCTCTGCCTCCAAGTGCTCATGAAGATTTAACTGTAATCTCTCCTGTGTCTTCTGTCAAGTTCAGACCCCACAGCTTCTTGCCTGGATCGTTGTGCTGTCTGCCCAGCTTGTTGTCTACCTTGCATTCTCTATCCTTTCCAATGCATCTTCTACACTGCCACCAGGGATCTTTCTAGAACTCCAGTCTCACGGTGTTCCAGCCCTGTTGAATCAGTGCCAGTGACTTCTCTTCTCCTCTCCAGTTCTAGAACAATCCTCAGCTTCAGCACCACATAGATGCCTCATAGTCTGGCTCATGCCTGGCCTCTCACCACCTACACCCAGTGCTCTCATAGAGCACAGAGACCCCTTGGAGTTCCCCAGATGTGTCAGTTGCTCTCATGGGCTCAGCACATGCTTTCCTTCGAGCTCTCAGCTCTTCACCCAGTTATTTTTACTCTTAAAACCATCCTTGAGACCCCAGCACAGGTTTGATGCCTCCCTGGGCTCCATATCTTCCTGGAATTCCTTGTCTCAGGGCACCTATCACACTGTTATAAATGTCGCTTTATCTGAGAACCTGGAGGACAGGAATTCCACATTATCAACTGAGCACCTAGTGGGTGCTCAATACATATTTGTTAAAGAACTGACATGAAATCTTTTCTGAAAGGAAGCAGGGGTGTAAATGGATAAACAGTATCTAGCACACTCCTATCCAGTGTTTCTCGAGTGCCTGGTACTATTCTAAGCGCTTAATAGGCACCCCTCATCTAATGTTCACTGTGGCCCCTGGGGAAGTTTGGTTATCATTTCCATTTGCTGTATAAAGAAATTGAGCACTGAAAGATTTAGTAACTTGACTCAAAGTCACATAGCCAATAACTGAAAGAGCTGGATTTGAATCCAGGCAGTCTGGTACCAAAGTCTGTACTTTTTTTTCTTTTTTTGTTTTTTTTTTTTTGAGTTGGAGTCTCACTCTGTTGCCCAGGCTGGAGTGCAGTGGCACGCTCACTGCCACCACAGCCTTAACCTTCTGGGTTCAGACGATCCTTCTGCCTCAGCCTTCCAAGTAGCTGGAACTACAGGCGAGCACCACCACGCCCGGCTAATTTTTTGATTTATTGTAGAGACGAGGTCTCACTAAGTTGCCCAGGCTGGTCTCGAACACCTGAACTCAGGCAATCCTCTCGCCTCAGCCTCTCAAAGTGCTGGGATTACAGGCTTGAGCCACCACACCCAGCCAAGTCTATACTCTTAATCACTCCTCTAGTCTGCCTGTCTGAAGGAACATGAGGAATGGTGAGAAAGACAAAGCAAAGAGCAGGGCTCAGAGAGCTCCTTTCTAATGGGGGAGGCTCGCTTACCCATGCCGGTTGATCTTACCTGTATGCAGGCTCCAAGGGAGTGCCAGGGAGTCTTTCCCTTTGTATCCTGGAGAGTGGCAAGAGCTAGCTCTCTTCGCCCTTCCTAATGGTAAAAGAGAGGCATCTGTGTGTGTCTGGGGCCAGGCTGCTTGCTTGAACCTCCTGGGCTGTGTGAACTTAGACAAGAATCCTAACCTGTCAATCCTCTTTCCTCTTCTATACATTAACATAACTACAGAACCTAATATAGGTCGATTGTGAAAAACTAAGTGAGATAAGGAATGATGGTACATAACCCAGGGGCAGAGACACAGGAAGCTTTCAATAAATGTTGTTTGTGATATTATTACAGCGGTGGCTTTGGAGCCAAGGCAAGGGTCAAGCCCAGTTGTATGACAATATGAGCTACATTTCTGCCTCTCTGACCTCACTGGTAATTTTGTCTGAATTTTAGAATTCCAAATGCTTACTAATAACTCAGCAGACCCTTATGGTTCTTTTTGCATTTGTACGGTATCTACATTGGTTAATACTGGTTGTTATTACCTGAGTGTAGGAAGTGAGAGCTGGAGGTAGCTGGCATGGAGCAGCTGTCTAGAGTCTACAGTTATGAGTTCCAATCCTGACTCTGCCACTTGCCACTTTGGTTCTTGGTTTCTTCATCTATGAAATGGAAATCATAATGTGTGCCTCAAAAGATTATTATAGGTGTAAATGAGAATATGGAAAAATACTTGACTAGGACCAGGCAAATAGTGGGTACCCACTGAAGGGCTGGGTGATATTTCTGTTCACCCCAAAATATGTTGACTCCCAAGATGACTGGCAGGAAGATGGTATAACTAAGAACAATAACAAGCCATGGGACACAGGAGGGGAGGACACACAGGTTTTGAGTAAAGATAATTATGAATCTGACTGTGGCTCCAGGTGAGCTTCTTACAAAGAATAATAACCACAATAATAATGTGAATTTTGTTTCTTCTGAAGCCTTTCTGTTTAAATAGAGAATTAGAGAAGTTTCTCTCTTCTCCCTCTCCAAGAGCTATATGGCTGGATAGCTTCTGGTGGATTTTTCATGAAAGGTACCAGGTAAATACAAATCTGATTGTTTCTCTCCCTTGGTTAGTTATTTTTCTACAGAACAAATTCTAACCTTTTTAACATGGGCTACAAGCCCATCTGATCCTGCAGACCGCTCCTGCAGCCTCACCTGTCATCCCGACTCTTCCCACCCATGCCCCACACACCCTATGCTTCAGCTATTACACAATGCCCTGCGCCCCCCCTCAAAACTTTAGGAGCTGGTCCGTGTCACGTGACTGGTCAGGGACAGTGGGAAGAGTAGACCTCAGGATTTCCTGGGCCTGAGTTAGGGTGTGTTCTTCAGCAATACTCTGCCTCTATGCACATGTTTTATAAATCCTTTTAAAAAAATAAACTGGCCGGGCTCGGTGGCTCAGCCTGTAATCCCAGCACTTTGGAAGGCCAAGACGAGAGGATTGCCTGAGCCCACAGGTTCGAGACCAGCCCGGGCAACTTGGCGAGACCTCATCTCTACAATTAATCAAAAATTAGCCGGGCGTGGTAGCGTGTGCCTGTAGTTCCCGCTACTTGGAAAGCTGAGGCGGAAGGATCACTGGAGCCCAACAGGTCAATGCTGGGGTGGCCGTGAGTGTGCCACTGCACTCCAGCCTGGGCGACAGAGTGAGACTCCAACTAAAAATAAATAAATAAATAAGCATATTATTTCATTAAGCATATGAGGCTAAACATCTTAAGAATAAGATTCTTGGAAATGAAAACAACACTTACTTAAGAATCCCAGCCCCTTGGCTGTTTGGACGAGGGACTCTAGTAACTCCTCCTTCATTTCCATTCCTGGCAGCCCAACAAGGAGATCCAGAACAAGCTGTTTGACCGGATAGCCCAGAACTACGCCCGCCTTTTGTTTCATGCACCCAGGTCCCACTATGAGGAGGCAATCATAAAAGTGAGCATCACCACTCTGTAGGAAAAAAGCACATTAGATCTCAATTCATTTCAAATGCCAAGAAAAAGCCTTAAACATTCTTTCCATAGGGAGTAATTAGGAAGTTGTGATGATCCATACGCTGACTTGCAATGCAGCATTACAAAAAATACAGCAGAGCTATATGTACTGTGGGAAGGTGTGAGGATGTATTTTAAGTGAAAAACAAAGCAATTTATACAGCTCTGTTTTGTGTGTGTGTGTGTGTGTGTGTGTGTGTGTGTGTGTGTGTGTGTGTGTGCATGTGCCTATGAATAGGAAAAAAACCTGGAAAAATATTTACCAAACTCTTAGCAATGGTTATCTCTGGGGAGTGAGGCTATAAGAGATTTTCCTTTTTCATTTTATAGTTTTTCTCTGGTATTTATATAAGCATGTAATTTTAAAATTAAATGTATGATTATACATATATACTTTTTATATGTGTGTATACGTATGTACATATGCACTAAAAGAATTGCTAGAAGAAAATACAAGTGAATAGTTGCATGATTTGCAGGTGAGGAAGGAATTTCTAAGTATGACGTAGAAGAAATAGCCATAAAGGAAAAGACTGATAGATTTAACTATATACTGAGAAAAAAAAAACTACAGACAAAGTTTAGAGGCAAATGACAAACTATGCAAAAATACTGTTAGTATATATGTCACATGACATAAAGAACCTTACCAATCAATAAGAAAAAAATTAAACACTATATACCAATGGACAAAGTACATAAACTAGAAATTCACCAAGAAGAAAGTACAAGTGGGGAATAAAGTTCACCCTTAACAATAATTTAAAAATGCAAATAAAAAAATAATAATTTGGAACCCCCTTTTGCCTGTAGATTGCATAGATTACAAAGTATAGCCAGGCGTGATAGTGCACACCTGTAGTCCCAGCTTCTTCAGAGACTGAGGCAGGAGGATTGCTTGAACTCAGGAATTAGAGTCCAGTCAGGGCAATATAGTAAGACCTTGTCTCTTAAAAAAATAATAATAGGGTTAAAGATGAAGGGAAATGGGCTTCTTAGTCTAAGTGGGAAGTGAATTGATACAATAGTGCCAAAAGTCATTTATACTACTTTAATGACCTCTAAACAAGTCACCTAAGCTTTCTGTGCCTCAGTTTCATCAACCGTAAGATAGGGATGTTTGTAAGGTATCTGACATATTGCCCAGTACACACTAAGTCCCCAATATATCGTAGCTGCTCTAGTTACTATTATTATTTCTTACTCTGGGTGACATAATCTAATATACAGAAGGATCTTCTTTCATTTGTGCATTTATTCATCCAACAAATTTTTGACTGCCTACTATGTGCCAGACACTGAGATGGCTTAATAAATACAAATAACTATTCAGCATAATTTATAATGCAGTCTTACAAACAAGACACTCTCCAGTGATGGGAGATGTTTAAGTAAATTTTGATATGCCCATTCAGTACAATATTATGAAGGTCACTACTGGAAAGAAAAATCTCTGCCGGGCTCGGTGGCTCAGCCTGTAATCCCACACCTTGGGAGGCTGAGGTGAGTGAATTGCCTGAGCCCGCGGGTTCGAGACCCGCCTGGGCAACTTGGCAAGACCTCATCTCTACAATAAATCAAAAAATTAGCCAGGCGTGGTAGCGCGCGCCTGTAGTTCCAGCTACTTGGCAGGCTGAGGCAGAAGGATCGCCGGAGCCAGCAGGTCGAGGCTGCAGTGGCCAGGAGCAGCCACTGAACTCCAGTCTGGGCGACAGAGTGAGACTCCAACTCAAAAAAAAAAGAAAAGAAAGAAAGAAAAATCTCAAAGACTTTATAATAAATTGGAGAAGTGCTTATATTGTTATATTAAATGGATAAAGTCAGAAATAAATGTGTAATTTGAGCTCAGTCATAGTTAAGAAGCAATAACAATAGCACCTGTGCATTAAAAAAAACACCCAGTGAGTAGCTTTTACTATCACTGGGAGATAATAATGTGGGGAGTCAAATATATCTTGACATCATCTTGGTTATGCTTTGGCCAAATTTCAGAAGGAGCTGAGCAACAGCCTTCATGAAGAGGTGCTGGGTGAGGGAGGAGGTTGCTGGCCGAGCATGGCATGATGTTGAGGGGTGATCCTTGAGTAGGTAGTCCACAGAAATGTAGAGGCAGGCGAAGACAGGAATTGCTCCCCTTGTGCACAAGAAGGCCATGAGGTGTTGGCTAAAGCATTTGGTCACAGATTCGTTCTGAAGCCAGGGGCCCTTTTCTGGGTGTGGAAGTGTTGAGAATGTTGCCTGTGCTCTGCTTGCTCCACCAGAGGTTGCCATCTCTGCTGAGCCAAGCCCTGTACACCAGCTTCTGTTGCTGCTTCCCACAATCCTGGTTCAACACACATGAATTCAAGTCTGACATCTGTAACACGATGAGCCTATGGATTTCAGGTGGGATGACTGCTTTCCCCGGGGAAAGCAATTCTGGAAAAATGTTTTTCAGTGTAGCCTAGGTATATTATTGCTTGCCATTACACCCCTTCATCAAGACGGTCTTCCTTTTTCTCTCCTTAACATTGAAGAGGCTGGGTGTGGTGGCTCAAGCCTGTAATCCCAGCACTTTGGGTGACTGAGGTGGGAAGACTGCCTGAACCCGTGGGTTCGAGACCAGCCTGGGCAACATGGCGAGACCTCGTCTCTACAGTAAATCAAAAAATTAGCCAGGTGTGGTAGTGTGTACCTGTAGTTCCGTCTACTTGGAAGGCTGAGGCAGAAGGATCCCCGGAGCTCAGCAGGTTGATGCTGGGTGGCCATGAGTGTGCCACTGCACTACAGCCTGGGCGATGCAGTGAGACTCCAACTCAAAAAAAAAAAAAAAAATTGAAGAAAGTAAAGTATGTGGTTAGAGCCCCAGAAGTATGAATTTTCCTGCTTCCTCAAAATAGTTCTAGTTCTCTTCTTAATCTACTTTTTGTGCTTTGCTACATCTGTTGTGAGTGAGAGACCCTCTTTTAACAAGATACCAAAGTTTCAGCACAGCTCTGTTAGTTAACCATGTGCTGCAGGCTAATGGACCAAGAAGTCAGGAACCCAAAGTCAGCATGCTGGTTAGATACTCCCACCCATCCACCCTCCATGTGACCCCAAGTGGCCTCCTGCGTCCCCTGACCCTCCAGCACACACAGTGCCAGCTTGATGCTTACTTTTTCAACTACCTTCCAGTCCCTTCCCCACTTTCCTCATCTCAACCTAGACATTTTCTAAGGTCATTAAAAGCTACTATTTATTGAGAGGTCCCTGTGTATTAAGTACTGTGCTAAGTAAACACTATTTACATTTCCGATTGTGTTGGAGCCCAAGATCACCACCACATTAGGAGATTTGCCAGAAGAACTCACAGGTCTCCATATATGGTTGTAATTGTGGCTGAGAGATTCATTTAGTGATGTAGGAAGGGTACACAGCTGCATGATATGGGAAAAGACAGGCAGAGTTTGGAGGAATCCATATGTACGCTTCCTTGTGCTCTCTCCCTCTCATAAAGACTCACAGGGTCCACTCATTTCCCTGCAATGAAAATGTGGTAGCATGTGTGTGATGCTTCTGCCTAGGGATGCCACAGCGCTTAAGGTTTGCATTAGGGGGAGTCACGTGAATGCCTCTGTCTATCAGGTACCACATTTCCAGGAAAACAGGTATTCAGCATAAACCACAGTGTTTTACAAACAAGTAGGCACCATTAGCCATTCTTTATCAGTTAGAGAAGGTTTTCTATTCGTTTGAGAAACTATTTACTAGCCACATTCCCAACAGCAGCCAGGTTTTTCTAGGGTTGGCAGTGTGAGGCCTGCTGTGTTAACTGTTTTCTGCACACCCATTTAATCCTCTTAACATACAGGCTTAGAGAAGTCCAACAGCAAACAAATGGGGGAGCAGGTATTCAAAGCCAGGACTGTGTCACGCTAAAACTAGGTCTTTGGTTGTTATGCCATCCTGCCTCCCATTCTCTGACTCTCTTCTCTTCTTGCTGTTCCACCTTCCTATTCCCCTTTTTGTCCAAGGCTACACCTCCTTCCCCCAACTCATCCCCAGTGAGAAACCTCCTGTCCATTTTGTCCAGTGGAGCCAGCAGCTTTGCATAGTGACCCAAATGTCTCAAGTAATCCCTGGAAGCATCACCATCAAATATGGAAGAACTCATTTTTGGCACTTTGCTAAATATAATAATATGTTGAAAAGGCTGGGCACGGTGGCTCACGCCTGTAATCCCAGCACTTTGGGAGGCGGACGCGAGAGGATCTCCTGAGTCCGTGGGTTCGATATCAGCCTGGGCAACATGATGAGACCTCATCTCTACAATAAATAAAAAAAATTAGTCGGGTGTGGTGTGGCATGCCTGTAGTTCCATCAACTTGGAAGGCTAAGGCGGAAGGATCACCGGAGCCCAGCAGGTCGAGGCTGTGGTGGCTGTGAGCGTGCCACTATACTCCAGCCTGGGTGACAGAGTGAGATTCTGACTCAAAAAATACATATATGTTGAAGAGATATTTATTAAACACCATTGTATTTATTATGTACCAGGTTTAGTAGTAAGCCCTAGAGGTACAAAGAGGAGTAAAGACCCCAAGCTCCTGTCCTTGGGGAGCTCATGGTCCAACAAGAACAGGGGAGATAGACAGAAAAACAAAACTACAGTGACTTCACATTTGTATAGCATTTTTTTTTATTTTTTTGAGTTGGAGTCTCACTTGGTCGCCCAGACTAGAGTGCAGTGGCTGCTCCCGGCCACCGCAGCCTAGCCTGCTGGGCTCCGGCGATCCTTCCGCCTCAGCCTTACGAGTAGCTGGAATTACAGACATGCGCTACCACGCCTGGCTGATTTTTTTGCTTTATTGTAGAGATGAGGTCTCGCTACCCAGGCGGGTCTCGAACCCACGGGCTCAGGCAATCCACTCAGCCTCCCAAAGGCGCGGGATTACAGGCTGAGCCACCACACCCGGCTTGTATAGCATATTACAGACTCACACATCTGTATGATCTGACCCTCACACCCAGCCATTAGTGAGGCAGGGCAGGTGTCTTTATCCCTGTTTTCCATATGGAAAAACTGAAGCTCTCCAGAGAGGAAGTGACTTGGCCAAAGCCACAATGCCATTATGGGCAGGGCTAATGCTGGAAAGCCAGCCTCCCTAGAACCAGCAGGGGGTTCCGGGGCCCCTGTCTACCTTGGACCTGTTTCTTCTCTCCTGTTCTCTTTTGTGGTCGTGTCCATCTTCACTCTTGATTCCCTCTTAGGTACATATCCTTACCCTCAGAGCTACAACAATTGGGACTACTCAGAACTGGATCCAGAAAGATTCCGGAGAGAAGAATTAATGTTACAGAGAAGACTGATAAAGGGTAATATACCAGTATGGGCTTCCACCCTCTTGGCCCCTGCCACAGCCAACTACCATCTAACTGAGGCAGGGGAGGGCCTTAGCACTAATGTCCTCAGGCTAGGTTCTCTCTTAGGTACCCCCAAATTGGCCACCAAAGGACTGAAATTTTAATGCTTATGTACTGTAGTTAGAGTCCACATAACGTAGCTGTTGGAATATGGAGATTAAATTTTATATTCCAATAGTAGATGCCAGGTAATGGCTGTCTTCAATATGCCAGGCACTGTGCTAGGCTCTCGGTTTTATTTAACCCTCACGACAACGTGCTGAAGAACATACCAAATCCACTTCATAGATGAGGAAGCTAAAGTTCAGAGAAGCAACTTGCCTAAGGTTCACTTTTTTATTTCACCCTCCATACACATAATGAGCATGGTGTGCCAGGTACTGTGCTCAACACTAGGAACACAGCAGGGGAGGCAAGCACAGTCCCTCCCTATGATCTAATGGGAAATTCAAGCCACACGATTATACTCCATATTGGGCACCGTGATGGGAGGACACAGGGAAGTGAGGCTGCAGGAGGAGGGGTATCCAGTCCAACCCTGAGAAGATTAGCAGTTGATATTTATGCTAAGACTTGAAAGTTGGGTGTTAGTCCAAGCACCCGCAGCATCAGGGTCTCTTCAGACCCAGTAAATCAGGCTCTGCAGCTTACCAAGATCCCCCAGTGATCTTGAAGCACATTCCAGTTTGAGAAACCCTGGCCTAGGGTTTGAGAATACCTAGCAACCTTTAGAACAGGATGTGTGCTGGGCTCAGTGGCTCAGCCTGTAATCCCGCGCCTTGGGAGGCTGAGGTGAGTAATTGCCTGAGCCTACGGGTTCGAGACCCTCCTGGGCAACTTGGTGAGACCTCATCTCTACAATAAATAAAAAAATTAGCCGGGTGTGGTAGCGCGCGCCTGTAGTTCCAGCTACTTGGAAGGCTGAGGCGGAAGGATCGCCGGAGCCCAGGGGGTCGAGGCTGCGGTGGCCGAGAGCGGCCACTGCACTCCAGTCTTGGTGACAGAGTGAGACTCCAAATCAAAAAACAAAAACAGGATGTGCCTGCAGTTACTGGCTGGAAATTACAATAGCCACCACTTCCTCAGTGCCAGGTTTACCTGTTACTTTTCTAAGCATTTCCATGTATTGACCCCTTAATCCCTTAATAGATATGATTTCCCAGTAATCATCACACACACTTAGGGAATTATTTTCAAAGAGAAAAAAAAATCCAACCCATAAATTTTCTTCCAATTTAATGACATTCTAATGAATATTAAATTTAACAGCTTATGATTTGATAAATTGTTTCTTTTTTAAGCATGTAACCCAACATTTATTCATTTTTTTGGTTTCTGAGTTGGTTTTTCTTTTGAAGCAAGTCTTTTTTTCCTGCACTTTGAGTGCTTGTTCTTTGCACAGGGCAGTGTATATAGTATTTCCTTTCATTGACTCATCAGCACTGGAGGTAGATCGTCCTTATACTCTTTAACAGGATCAGAGAGTTTTGGTAACTTGCACAGCAGGTGGTGTCAACAGAGAGACTCTAGTTTGCTGCTCTCTGGTCGGTGTCACTACCTCTTGTCTTTCTTTCTTCCTTCCTTCCTTCCTCCCTTCCGTCCTTCCTTCCTTCCTTCTTTCCTTTCTTCCTTCCTTCCTTCCTTTCTTCCTTTCTTCCTTCCTTTCTTCCTTCCTTCCTTCCTTTCTTTCTTCCTTTCTTCCTTCCTTCCTTCCTTTCTTTCTTCCTTTCTTCCTTCCTTCCTTTCTTCTTTCCTTCCCTTCTTCTTTCCTTTCTTCCTTCCTTCCTTTCTTCCTTCCTTCCTTCCTTTCATTCTTTCTTTCTTGATGCAGTCTTGCTATATTGCCCAGGCTGGTCTTGAAATCCTGGGCTCAAGCAGTCCTCCCACCTCGGCCTCCCAAAGTGTTGGGATTGCAGGTATGAGCTCTCCCACCTGCTCACTACTTCTTTTCTCAAAGCTCCTGGTCTGCAGTCATTGCCCCACAGCAAGAAAGAACTAATGAACACCTTTTCCCTTTCCTTAGGAAGAGGATTTTCTTTCTTCACTGGTAAGAGAAGTTCCTCCCAGAAGCCACTCCAGAGCAGAAAATCTCTCCGCACTCAGGTAAGGGAAGCACAGACTGGGACTCCTTGGAACCCCATGAGCTTCAGAAACCCTAGATTCTTCTAGAACATCGGTGGCCTCCTGTCGCTTGCACATCTCTGTGCTCCCTGCCTCTGTTCTACCCCATCTTCTCAAAGAAGGGCCCTGGAAGGTCTCCAGAAATGCAGCAATTGGGAGGAGGGAAGGAACCAGCCTTTCGGTGCAAGATGCTTTTATGTCTTTTTTTTTCCTCCATTGATCTTTGTGATAAGCCCAAAACTTGGCAGTCATCCCTGACACCTACTTCCTCCTCTGCCCTGTTGATGTTCCTGTCAGCATACCTCCCAGAACCACCCACCGCGTGCCCTTTCATTTCCACTCCTCTAGTTCAAGCTCCCATCACTCCTGCAGTAGGCTCCTGTCTCCCTCAGGCTCTCAGGTACCTCTGGGGCAATCTTTTCCAAATGAAAAGCTAATTATATCATCCTCTACCATCTGACTCTTTCTTATCCCCCCACCCTAAAAACCCTCCTTCTAGCCCTAAAAAACATCTTCCACAGCCCAGAAGGCCTCCTTTGGCCTTTGGAGTAGACTAACAAGCACAGCCCTGCCTCGTCTGGCCCAGCCCCTTTTCTACCCTCATGGGTTTTCAGGGTGCCTGCCACAGGGGTCCTCCTTCAGTTCCTTGTATACACCATACTCTCTCCCTATATGTGGCCTCTATACCTGCTATTCCTCCTGTCTGAGGTAAGCTCCCATCATCACCACTGCCGTTGTGATTGTTAGCACCTCCTCCCAACTACAAGTGCAGAGAGATCACATTGCTAGCATTCGGTTAACCAGATGCCACAAATAATGGTCTATGTTTTTCTGGAGAGCTGGAAAAAAATAAAAGTCCAGGCAGGGTTTGGCAAACTATGAAATCAGGCCTTTTACTGCCTGTTTTTGTAAATAAAGCTTTATTGGCACACAGACATGACCATTTATTTAGTATTATTTACAATGACCTTTGCACTGAAACAACAGAGTTGAATACTTGCAATAAAGGCTTTATGACCTGCACAGATGAATATTTACCATCTAATTCTTTGCAGAAAAAGTTTGCCAACCCTTGGTCTAGGAGATGCATACTCATCCTTGCATCTCAGTTCAGGCTCTTGTACTGGAGGGAAAAAAAAATTTCTCTACCCTCTTAGGTAAAATATATGGAGCCCTACACTTATGAACTAACTAAAGACAGGAATAACAGGAGAAAAGGAATTTAAATTTTATTTGATGTTAATATTTTTACATGACACATGGGGCTTCATAGGAAAAAAGTGAAAACTCCAAAGAAGCTGTTAGGCCTGATAGTTTATATACCCTTTTAACAAAGTGTGATAAATTGTGGAGATGTGACAAGACAAAGGAAAAGTGGTTGGACTTTTAGGAATGGTAAATTATGGTAAGACAAATGTATGAAGGAAACTAATGAAAGATAAGGGTTAATTTCAGCAAGGGTTGTTATGCAGATTCAAGTTGATGCCCTCTTCAGTGATGAGTTATCTCTTTTTCCTAGTGTAGGAGAGGGGAAGGGGGGACACCTTCACAAAGGAAAATTTATGCCCTGCTTTTAGACAGTAAAAGGAAGGTAAAGAGCTCTTCCTGCATCTGCTCTTTCTCAGTTGCCTTCAGCCCAAAATAATTTTTATGTCAAAGTGGCATATTTTGTGATGGCATTTTCTGATTCCCTTCACTCTCATCCTCGAGGTCAGCTTTCTAATCCTCTAAGCAAAATGAGGGTCTTTTATTAGGTTGGTGCAAAAGTAATTACAGTTTCAGACTGTGAATTTTATTTTTTTATTTAATTTTTTAAATTTATATTTTATTTTAAAGATATGTGGTATAATTCAGGATTAGGTATATAAGCAGATATTATACAGGTAAAGTTAGGGCCTTCCTTTGGTCCCCACTTTGCCTGGTTTAAAATCAGGTACCCTTCCTTATTGATGTTGTGTTCCCCCTACCCCCCACTCCGGCAGTATCCCACTATTGCCAATCCCTTTCTTATAGTATTATGGTAAATGTTGAGGGTCCACTTATGAATTAGAACATGTGCTACTCTGTTCTTTGTTTCTGTGATAGATCAATGAGCATGATAGACTCTAAATCCATGCAAGTTGCTACAAAGTCCATAATTCTGTTCATCTTTATGGCTGCATATGCCATCATGTATATGTACCACATTTTTTTTTATTCAGTCCAGTTTCAATGGGCAACACAGTTGGTTCCATGTTTTTGCTATTGTGACTAGTGCTGCAACAAACATGTATGTGCAGGTATCTTTTTTTAGAATGATTTGAGTTTCTCTGGGTGTATTCCCTGTAGGGGATTCCTGGATCATATGGAAGGTCAATTTATAGTTCTTTTAGAAATCACGCCGGGCTCGGTGGCTCAGCCTATAATCCCGCGCCTTTGGGAGGCTGAGGTGAGCGGATTGCCTGAGCCCACGGGTTCGAGACCTGCCTGG